TGTTTGACCTCATCCCCTATTAAAAGATGCACATCAATAGTTGAAAGATGGGGGCTGAAGAGATGGCTCAGAGGTTAACAGCATGTTCAGTCCCTAGTACCCACATCTGGTGGCTTACAATCAATGGCCTATAACTCTAGCTCCAGGGGATCTGGTGCTCTCCTCTGGCCTCATGGGTACCTGTACTCATTTGCACATGCCCACATACAGACACACAAGCATACATATAATTTAAAAATATAAAAATCTTTTTTAAAAGGGAGCTGGCTGGGCGTGGTGGTGCACACCTTTAATCCCAGCAGAGGCAGAGGCAGGTGGATCTCTGTGAGTTCAAGGCCAGCCTGGTCTACATAGTGAGTTCCAGGACAGCTGGGGCTACAGGGAGACCCTGTCTCAAAAAGATCAAAAAAAGAAAAAGGGAGCTGAAGAGATGGCTTATCAGTCAAGAGCACAGGCTGCTCTTGCAGAAGACCTGGGTTTGATTCCCAGCACCCATATGGTGGCTAACAACCACCTGTAACTCCAGTTCTAGGGGATCTGATGCCTTCTTCTGGCCTCTGTGGGCACTGCATGCACATGGTATATATACATATATGCAGGCCAAACACTCATACATATTAAATAAAGATAAATATTTAAAAAATATTTTTTAAAAGTATAAAAAAAGATGTACTAATACACAAAAATTAAAATAGTCTAGTTATGAAACCATCCATCACTCTAGGTCACTTGTCTTTCTGGAATATCACTAAAGTCTAAAAAACTATACAAATTTACTTCTAAAATTGTTGAACTACATACATGCAACAACAACAATAATAAATAAAAGGAAGCCGTGAGATTACTTTTTATAATTGGGGGCTACAGCTCTCCTTAGTTAGGCTCATTTATTTATCTTATTTATTTTTTTAGACTGGGTCTCATGTAGCCCAGGCTAGCCTTGAATCCTGATCCTCCTACTCCACACCTCCCAAGTGCTGGGATTACAGGCATTCATCACCACTCCTCATTTTCTTTAGTGCTGGGGATTGAACCCAAGGATTTGTGCATGCTAGGCTAGCACTCTACCATCTCCAGTCCTGGCCCCAGGATTCTTCATGCTCAGATTTAACTTACTAGCTCAAATATACAATACTCTTATAGGGAGACATGTGCTATTTTTCAGCTTGCAATGTCTTCCCTAAAGAGAATGACGCCCCTATGTGTATAAGTACTAACTGTTAACAGCCACTGTTTACTGTGAGAATCCAGCTCAATACCTTTCTTAAGACAAATCTATCCTCCCTCAACATGACATATCACCTCCCGGTCAGCCTGGCTACTCCAGGCTACTGCTCACCAGGCCCTCCTTCCCCAGTGCACCCATCACACTGCCTTGCCATTGTTTATTGGGTCTCATTCCCTCCTGCAGAGGATGTCAATCCCTCACTAACATTAACAGAACTTTAAGTATTCAGAAAAAGAATAAAACTAACATTCAATAAATGTTGACTATGCCTATATGTTAATCCTCTCAGAGAGTGTGCTCTACCTAGCCTGCTCTTCTCTTCTCCTTCCAAACTTGACCTCCAATCTATAATGCCTTCCATCTGGCCTCCTTTGTCTGCTGTCCAGGGCACTCCAGGGATGAGGGGCCTGATCCTCAGAGACCCAGCTGCTCTGCCAGTTCTGAGAAGACTCTGGAAGTTGGAGCAGCTGAATCCAGGCTCCTGTGTCAGCTCTTCTACTTACTGGCTCGATGCTCCTGCCCCAATGTTTCCTCTGAGCTTCAGTTTCTTCATCATAAGTTTGTCTCTGGGGTTGTTGTATATACGTTAGGTGTAGGAATCTAACCTTCAGTAGCGTTTTTTGGGTTTCACCGTAGCCCAGGCTGACCTTGAACTTGTTATGTAGTCAAAGATGATCTTGAACTTCTGATCCTCTTGCCTCTACTTCCAGATTATAGGCATGCATGACTATGCCTGGTTTATGCAGTGCTGAGGACTGAACTCAGGGTTTTGTGCATGCTAGACAAGCACTGAACCAACTGAGCTATATTCCTGGCCCCCTCACTGGCATTTATTATTTGTGTTTGTGCACTTAGATGGAGCTGTGAGATGGAGCTTTTGAGTCTCCACTGAGCCTTGCAGCCAAGCTGCACATTCTCATCCTGTACTTGTCCAGATGGCTTTCTATCTAATGTAGGATCTTATAATCATGCCCCGTTGCTTTCATTTGTGTTCAGTTTGCCTAGTTCTGCCTTTCAGAGCCAATTTATCTTCTGCATATCATTCCTCATTAGCCTGTGCTACGTGTAATCTGGACACTAATCTATATCTTGAGCCACTGACCAAACTGTTGAGCAGAAGAGTCATAAAAGGGGTGTCTGAAGTAAGAGAGTACATGCAGGGATAGAAATGGACTTGGAGCACCTCAGTCCTGTACCTGGCACAAAGCAGGCACACATGTTCATACTTCCCTACTGGTGACCTGCCCTTACTGACCCTTGTGGGAGAAACTCCTTTACATGTCACCAATGGCAGTGAACATGTCCCTGGCAGAGGATGATCTGACATATACAAATACATATGAAAAATGCCAACTCCGTAACTGAATTGGAAATTTACTCCAAAGATGTCATTAAACAGAAGAAAAAGAAAATCTGTTGTCCCAGTTACTCAGGAGGCTGAGGTAGGAGGATTGAAAGTTTAAGGCTTACTTGGGCTACAGATCATGTTCGACACCAGCCTGGGTAACTTCGTGAGCCACTGTATCAAAACAAAAATACAAAAAAGGTGGGAGTTTATAGCTCAGTGATAAGAGTGCTTGCCTAGCCTGCATGAGACCTTTGGTTTATTCTAGTACTGACTAGAGAAAGAGAGAAGAAAAATCTATGAATAAGATAGTTGCAGCATTATTATTATTATTTGTTTTTGTTTTTTTTTTTTCAGACAGGGTTTCTTTGTAACCCCAGCTGGCCTGGAACACTCACTATATAGACCAGGCCTGCCTCTGCCTGCTACCATGCCTGGCTTTTTGTTTTTTAATTTTACTTTATGTCTATGAGTGTACTGCCTGCATGTATGTGAGTGCACCCACATTGTGCAATGCCCTGGAAATCAGAAGAGGGCATCAGATTCCCCTGGAACTAGAGTTAACGACAGTTTGTAGCTGCCATGTGGGTGCTGGGAATTGAACCCAGGTCCTCTGCGAGAGCAGTCAATGCTCTTAAACCCTGAGCCATCTCTCCAGCGCAACTGCAGCATTATTATTTTAAATGCTGAAAATCAGCTGGGCGTGGTGGCGCACGCCTTTAATCCCAGTACTTGGGAGGCAGAGGCAGGTGGATCTCTGTGAGTTCAAGGCCAGCCTGGTCTACATAGTGCCTTCCAGGCCAGCTGGGGCTACAGGGAGACCCTGTCTCAAAAAGACCAAAAAAATTAAAATAACTAACTAGCTAACTTAATAAATAAATAAAATGCTGAAAATCCTACACACCCTATGACTGGTTAAATAAACAATAACAGAGCAACAACAAGGCTCTGAAAATGAGTCAGTATAATGGCAATATAGTGTTATGTTAGCATAAAGCTCACATTATTTAAATACGTCACAATTGGTATGCAAACTGTGCCTGTAACTAAATAAAAACTAAGTACACGCAGATAAAGACAGAATGGGAAGATGAAGAATTAGAAAATATTTGTCATGGTAAGATTAAAGATACGATGTTCAGTTGTTTCCCAATAAAATATAATTTATTTGGTCTTAAACTTCCCAAATGTGAAAATACAGATGCATCATTCCATGTGTTTATTATTTATGCGTGCATATTTAATTTGAAGGGAGAGATCAAGAATGAAAGCCAGGTGTGGTGGTACACACCTTTAGTCCCAGTACTTGGGAGGTAGAGGCAGGAGGATCTCTATAAGATTGAATGAAGCTGGCCTGGTCTACATAGCAAGTTCCAAACCAGCTAAGGCTACAGGGAGACCTTGTCTCAAAAAACCAAAACCACAAAAAGAATAAACAGGGCAAGGCTAGGTTTATTATTGGGGCATGGGGCATGCCTATAAATCCCAGCACTAAGGAGACAAAGGCAGGAAGATCACCATAAATTCAAAACCAGCCTAGGCTACACAGTGAATTCCAGACTAGTCTGTGTAACCAAGTAAGACCCTGTCTTTAATATATACATACACACACACACACACACACACACACACACACACACACACACACAAAAAACAAAATAAAAAGAAGAAACAGTTCAGAAGCCAGAGCCATAGTTAATAGGGAATTTCAACTAAAGTTAAGAAGCATTTGCCAGGGCTGGAGAGATGGGTCAGTGGTTAAGAACATTGGTTGTTCTTGTAGAAGACCCAGGTTCAAATCCCAGCACAAACATGGCAGCTAACAACTGTCCGTAACTCCAGTTCCAGGGGATCCAACAGCTTCTTCTGTCCTCCTCGGGCACTGCACAACACGGGTGCACTTACCTACATGCAGGCAATACACGCATACACATAAAAAAAAAAAAAAAGAAGCATTTACCTAAAGCTGAGAGCTAATTCCTGCCCTCAAGGAACTTGAAAATCCAAAGCATTTGTTGCTAATGTGCAAGATTCCTTCCCACTGACATTCATATACTCATCACACCTTTGCCTGTTAGTCATAAGAGTCCTGAGGAATAAGTGTCAGTATGACGTGAATTCAGCTACATCATCTACCCGGCTCCCAGTCCTGCTCTGACACAAGCAGAGGACCCTGGTAGGACCTTCCCTTGTGAGCCTCTATGAGCTAGAGTAGATGCAGTGCCCACGTCCAAAGTTACCTGAGGCATGGCATCACAAATGCCTCCTGTACAAGTTGGTTGCTGTAATAAGAAGTCCCATAATTTGTTGCAGATGGTCACAATTCTATGCTTAAAAACATAAGGCAACAGAAGGAACAGAGCATTTTCAGTGAGAAGGGAAAAAGGGGTGGGAGGGAGGCTCCACTCAGACATGCTCCATGCTTACCGTAGGTGAACATTCGAGGGGAGGTCAGCTCAATGTTAGGCAGGGCACCCAGGTGGTTCAGCACTGCACACCGGTAGCCATTTTTCTGGGCATAGTCTACAAAGGTTCGGATATACTGCTTCTCACTATGATTGGCAATTCCAGGACAGATGACCATGGTGATGTCATCTACAGGGAGAAGAAACAGTTCCAGGGGTATCCACTTAATATGTTAACACTGACATTAACAATGGTGTTTGGGTGTTTGGGATTATTGGTAATTCTTCTTTGTTTTTACACATTTCTGTATTATCTCTATTTCCCAAAATGAAAATTTAATCTCCTCGTAGTCAGAAAAAAAATATATAAAAGGAATAAAATAGCTGTTTTTCTTAGAGCGAATTTCTTGGTATAGACAGAATCACCTTCAACACTCTTTTCTGGGAACAGGGGTGATGGAAAGGCATACAACCAAGTGTCAGTTTTGCCCTTTTCAACTCCCCTACTAGGTGCCAGTAAGAACAGATTGATCGAGCTAAATTTTATGCTTATGATTTGTTTTGTTTTGAGACAGGGTCTCATGTAGTCCAGACTGACCTTCAATTTACTGTGTAGTCAAGGATGGCCTTGAACTCCTGATCCTCATGCTTCTACCTCCTGAGGGCTGGGATTACCAGCCTAGCTACCACACCTAGCTTAAATCTTATGCTTTAATGCTAGAGGTCAAAGCATTAGAAACATGACAGAAAACATTTAACTGACAATGGTGGGAGAATAAATATTTGAAAGACTAACTACAATATTTACAAACATACTGTGGACTCCTACCCTATCCATTTATTCATTCCTTCTGTGACTGTTTACTGGGAACACCATGTTTTGAGCTCTGCGGATTTCTGCACTGCACCAGAAGAGCCACAGAAGAAACGAGAGTAGCAGATGCTGTGAGGGTCCAAAGCAGGGAAGCATGATGGCTGTACCAGAAGTGAATGCTAGCTGGGGTAGTTAGTGGAGGACTCTCTCAGACGTGACATCTGATGACAAGGAGGATCTAGCCATGTGAAGGACTGCCAAGCAGCATTCCACCCAGAGGGAACTAGCAGCTACTCAGCAATTCTAGATACTTCAAATAAGTCAGAGTAAGTCTAGGTTTACTGGAATTTACCCACAAATAATGACCACATGCCTCTAATGAAGTACGTGTATTTGAATAAGCAAAAAGCACGTTCTCCTCTGGTAGAGGTTACATTAAAAAAAAGATGCTGGCATCTAACTCCACTTCCTTAAAAGGCCTCATTATGAAGCATTTTATAATGAATGTTTACTGTATAGATCAGAAAGAACACTGCCAAATTCCAGCAGCAACGGAAACTGGAGTTGTTTCTCGGACTAAGCATCTCTGACTCATGAATGGTAAATATGGCCTTACTGTGTCCTTTCGTCCAAGGAGATTTATGCATAAGGCATAAATAAACCCAGCCTACATTGCTTCTCCAAATTTCAGTTTCCCACAGTAAAGGGGAATAACATCACCTACCTCACAGAGTTGTGAGAAGGATTAAGGCAGACAACAGCAGGTATAAAACACTATTGCTGATGCTGCTCTGGTCCTGGGGGCTTTGGGCTCCAAGCCATATCCCCATCCCTTTAAACCAGGCTTCTGTATTTCACAAGTGGATCATAAAACTCTTTAATGTTTTCTGGAGAGCTTTACATGAAGTAGCAAGCACAGGTCGGAGCTAATCCTTATAGGTCACTCCTGAGTGATAAATCTCTGGCCCCTGAATGGAATGTGTCAGGAGGTAGTACCGGACTTTACAAAATGCTCCCCATTGACTGGTGCTCCCTGAGTAGGTGACCTGATGCCATGACCTAAAAACTAGCTCACCTCCAACACAGTGCTCAGCCAAGGGCTCGAAGAGGTCAAAGGTAGAAGTGGCTCCATCTGACATAGTGATGTATTTCCGGTGCCCATAAGGGTGTGGCGACCTCACTCTTCCCATCTTCCCATACAAGGCTGTCTGGATATGTCCACTTTTCCCCCAGATCAATGGTGGAATGTATCTGAGAAAGGAAAAGAAGAAAGATGGGTAGTCGATTCCCTTTACATTCTTTGAACAAAACAAACCAACCCTAATATTTAAGCTTTTCCTGACACATTCTGTACATTAAGCATTAACATGATGGGCTTTCATTTGCTTGCTTAAATTTAAAAAAAAAAATCATTCTCTATTTGTGGTGCCAGAGACCAAACCCCAGGTCTCATACATGCTGGGCAAGCACTGTTACTGAACTGTATATCGCTAACCTAAACATATTTTCTCACCTCACATCCACTTCACAATTTGTTATGAAAGCATGAAAATGCTTTCTACATTTATTAATATATCCTGTAGTAGGAATAGATAACCTAGCTTCAGAAACCAATCAAGATTTCAAATTTAGAATGTTAAGTAACTTAACATGGGTTATTTCCACAATACAGGGTAAAAGGAAATCAAGTAATATCTTTTGAGTACATTCTACAATGACAGGGTTGGCTTTACTATCTAGTGAGCTGATGTATAGCACACCACCAGTGCTTAGTAAATGCCCACTTCTTTCCCTTTCCCTAACAAGGCAGGGCACAGCTGCTGTGGTTACTCCATTAACCAAAACTGCTGCTTTCAGTGATACCATGAAGGGCAGTAGATTCTCCTTAGAGCATCTAAATGCCTTGAGGGTATGTGGGAGGAGCACTACTGTATGCCTCCAGAGAATGTGCTAGAAGGGTGAGCAATATTTCTATTTAATCCATATGAAGAATAAAGGCTTGTTAGCCTAAGCAAGACATGGGCTTCCTTACAACTGTCCTTTGTGAAAACACAGTGACTCTGGCTTTGTAGAAAATACAAGAATCACAAACCTATGAATTTCTGGAAAAGATGGTGCTCTACGTTACAATTAAGAAATGAGGATGGCTCACAGTCATGGCACAAGACTATCTCATTTACTGAAAATGCTATTGTTTTTCCCTCATGGCTTTTCATCTATGCTTGATGGCTAGCCAGGTTGTGTGTTCTATATAAACTGGAATCTCACAATATAATAGTCATGACATCAATCTTCCAGCTTTGTATTATGTCACAGTGGTATTTTATGAATGATTTATTTCAACCTACTTTTCCATTCATGCTTATCATTTTCCTTAGAACCAGATGGTCCCAGAAGCTCTTGTTCAATTTGCTCTTTTTGTACTTGTGTTAATTAAATCTACACAAAGTTAAGAGACATGACGCTTTGACCTTAGCCAGTCCCCAGACAAGATGTTTCATTGGGGCTGGTGAGGAGAGGGAAGAGTATTTAAGTGACAGGACATCTTACTAGCATCACCACAAGTGCAAATACCCTTGCAGAAACCATAGCATTTGGAAAGCAGAGAAAGGCCATTTACAAGAGCTGAGTGGATTAGGACAGTAACCAAAATAACCTTATAAAAATAATGTCAAGTGGACAACTAAATACTAATGTAACACTTAGATATATAATTTATAAAGGCCCTCAGAAGGCCACATTGTTTTTTGTGGAGGGAAAATGGTCCAGGAAACCAAACTGCAGATCACTTTCAGAAGAAAATCAGAATACTTTTCTTACAATATGTGCTGGATAGCTGTAGTGTCTGTGTTGAGGGAGCCTCAATTGGGGAACTGCCTCCATAGGACTGACCTGTGGCCATGTCTGTGGGGCATCTTCTTGATTGTTGAGTGATGTGGGAGGGCCCAGTCCACTGTGGGTGGTGCTACCCCTGGGCAGGTGGACCTGTGTTGCATAAGAAAGCAGGCTGAGCAGGGGCCAGGGGAGCAAGCCAGTAAGCAGTGTTCCTCCATGGCCTGTGCTCCAGCTCCTGCCTCCAGGTTCCTGCCCTGAGTTCCTACCTTGGGGTACCTGATGAACTGTGACCTGGGAGATGTAAGCCAAATAAACTCTTTCCTCCCCGAAGTTGGTATTGGTAAGAGTATTTTGTCACAGCAATGAAGAAATAAACTAGGACACAATATAAGTGAAAAAGAGAAATATGCCAAGGTTAAAAATGTCAGAAGAATGGGTATATTTCATATCCTTACCTTCCTGTTTAGAACATGATTAAATCTTAGAAGATAGGGGCTGGAGAGATGGCTCAGCATTAAGAGTGCAGATTGCTCTCGCAGAGGACCCAGGTTCAATTCCCAGCACCCATATGGCGGCTATGAACTGTCCTTAACTCCAGTTCCAGGGGAATTCGAAGCCCTCTTCTGACTTCCACAGCATTGCATGACACTGGTGCACTCACATACATGCAGGCAATACACTCATACATATAAAATAAAAATAATAAGATATTTAAATCTTAGAAAATTACAAAAAATATAACAAAATCTCCTTTTGGCTACTCACAGATTTTACAACAGTTTCCATTTCAATGCCACACTCCTGGTTCAAGGTCATGTTGTCTTTCCTCTGAATCTTGGCAACAGCCTCCCAGTGGCCTCTTTAAACTCTAGCCTTGCCCTCCATTTTTCACCTTGCTGATACAGAGCATCTTAACATAGAAATCTGGTCACGGCCCTCATTACATCAGTCCCTGGCTTGGCCTGGGAGGTTAGTCACACTCTGGTGCTTCCCAAACTCTCTGCATAAGCTCCAGTACACCTAAACCAGAGGTTCAACTCCTCCTCTAATGGGAACCCCTGGGGAACAGATGCCTCTGCACAAGTGCCTCTGTCTGGGATGGTCAGCTTCCCACCCTGGTCCTTTCCTGATCAACCAAGCCTTGTCTTTAGGACTCACTGCTCATCATGTTGCTGGGGCAACTGTCCGATCTCTGTACTGCTGTGTCCCAGCACTTAGGTGGCTCCATTAGTTTGGAAGTGCTTTTCGAACACATCCCTCTCACCATACCCTTGGAGCCTTTTGAGTCTTCTCCAGAACCAAGAGAAAAGTTACTGAAATGAACAGAACAAATACCCACATTAAAAAAAAAAAAAATACAAAAACTTAAAAAAAAATGTACCATGATATGTGAGTCTGGCAATCATGTGACTGTCATTTGGTGATTGTCTTCCTTCCAGTCCAATTGACTCCATTCTCAGACTTGGTGGAATAAAATCTTCAAAGTGTGTGTGTGTGTGTGTGTGTGTGTGTGTGTGTGTAAGCTACTGCCTCAGAATCATTTGGGACTTTGTTCACTATAAGGTCAACTGTGCACAGTGGAAGTCTCACAGTCTTTAATTTTAAGACAATACCACCTACTAATAAAACACTTTTTAATTAACTTCACAATAACACACAGCAGATTTATGAAGGTGAGACTCTGGAATAAGTTCACTATGGTGGGTTTTAATTGTGTGCTTCCTGGTATTTATACAACTTATGCACAAACCACAAGAAAAAACTTTCAACCCCCCCCACCCCAACAAAAACAAACACACAGAAAACAAATGTCTGGAATGGTCTAGATGAGGAAAGGAAAACAGACTGAAAGGATAAAATATTTTTAAATTTATATAAACAAACATAAAAACTGAAGACATGCTGCTAAAGTGGTATGCAGATATGCTTTTTCTTTTTTTTTTTTTTTAAAAAAAACTTATGTTTATGTGTATGAGTGCTTTGCATATATGCAAGTACACGGATGTTGTACAATGCCCACAGAGGCCAGAAGAGGGCGTTGGATCCCATGGAACTGAAGTTACAGATAGCTGTAAGCTGCCACATGGGTGCTGGGAACTGAACCCAGGTCCTCTGCAAGAACAGCCAGTGCTCTTAACTATTGAGCCATTTCTCCAGTCCTAGGTATGCTTTTTTGAACTACCTGTATGATGGTTTGTCTGAAAATATGGCTGCCATTATTTTACTTATTCCTGTCCCTGAGGGTTATTCTCTATAGGGAGGATCTAGGCCAGTCTGGGATGGTTTGGACCAACAGAATGTGCAGAAGGACTGCTGAGCAGGACTATGCCTGTTCTTGAAGAGACCTGGCAGACTTTGTTTTATCCCTTTGGGAATCTGGCTGCCCAGTATGACAGGCACACTGGGGGAAACCTTGGAGGATAAAATGGAACTGAGAGCCATGTGCATTTTCAATTCTATAGATAATGGCAAATTGCCTTCCAGGAAAAGACAGCTCACCTTACATTCCCACCAATAATACAGGAACACTTGTTTACCTTCCTCATCCTCATCAATCCACATTATCAACTTTTTATATTCTGGCTATTTTACTTTGTCTTTTTTTTCCCCCCTCAGAGCTGAGGACTGAACCCAGGGCCTTGCACTTGCTAGGCAAGCGCTCTACCACTGAGCTAAATCCCCAACCCCTATTCTGGCCATTTTAATGGGCAACACATTTCCACATGATTAAGGCCGAATCAGCCTGGTTTTTTTTTTTTATTTTTTTAGACAAGGTCTCCATTTAGCCCTACCTGGCCTAGAACTCACTATGTAGGCCAAGCTGGCCTTTAACTCACAGAGATTTGCCTGTCTCTGCCTCCTGAGTGCTGGGATTAAAGACGTGTGCCACCAGGCCCGGCTCAATCTATGTTTTTTTTTTTTTTTGTCTTTTTGAGACAGGGTCTCCCTGTAGCTGCAGCTGTCCTGGAACTCATTATGTAGACCAGGCAGGACTTGAACTCACAGAGATCTGCCTGCCTCTGCCTCCTGAGTGCTGGGATTAAAGGCATGTGCCACCATACCCGGCATTCAGTCTATGTTTTTTTAAAAAAATGTTTCTTGGGCTGACAAGATGGCTCAGCAGGTAAAGGCACTTGCTGTCAAGGCTGATAACCTAAATTAGATCCCTGGGATCCACATAGTAGAAGGAGAGACCAACTCCACAAAGCTGTCCGCTGTTCTCCACACATGTGCTGTGGCAGCACAAGCTACCCCCAGTAAACAAAGCAAAAAACAGTTTTCATTTCAATCTGTATTTGCTGACGCATATGTTTACCAGTTACTTTTTTTCCCTGTGAATTCTGTTTATACTATTTTCTATTATATTTTAATCTTTTTTTCTGTTAATTTGTATTATTTTTATCAGACTTATAATT